GTGAACCGCGCCTGCCCGGCGTGACCATCGGCGCCGAGTCGTCCTCCGCATGCAGGATGGCCCAGCCCCGCGCGACTCCGCGAAGCCCGGGGCCCATGGTGCACTCGCCGCCCGACGCGTCGCCAGCAGCTGTGATCCACTTGTCCTTGTTGAAGTTCTCGTGGTTCCCGATTCTCTCGCAGAGCTCCGCGCCTGGCTCGGGAGGCGGGGGGGGAGGGGGCCTTCGCCCGCGACTTTGGCGGCGACCCCCGCAGCCGCAAGCGCGGCTGGAAGCCCCGCCCGATCTGATCGAGGGCTCTCGCCTCGAGGTGCTTCGACTTGACGCGATCGCCCAAGGGCCTATTGCACCTGCGCGCCTGCTCGCGGCGCCCCCAGGACACTGCCTCATCGCCGCGCCTCGGGCGCGTGGCGTCCTCGATCTCAAGGCCGAGGTCCAGCGCTCGCTGCCTGGGCCGCGCCCCGACCAAGGCGGCCACGCGCCCCCCCCCCGCCCCCCCGCACGCGCGCGCGCACGCGCGCGCGCACGCACACACACACGCGCACGCGCACACGCACACGCACACGCACACGCACACGCACACGCACACGCACACGCACACGCACACGCAAACGCACACGCACACGCGCATGCACATGCACATGCACATGCACATGCACACGCACACGCACACGCACACGCACACGCACACGCACACGCACACGCACACGCACACGCACACGCACGCACGCACACGCACACGCACACGCACACGCACACGCACACGCACACCCACACGCACACGCGCACACGCGCACACGCGCACACGCGCACACGCGCACACGCGCACACGCGCACACGCGCACACGCGCACGCGCGCACACGCGCACACGCGTACACGCGCACACGCGCACATACGCACACGCGCACACGCGCACACGCGCACACACGCACACGCGCGCACACGCACAGACGCACAGACGCACACTCGCACACACGCGCACACGCACACACACACGCACACACGCACACGCGAACACGCGCACACGCGAACACGCGCACACGCGCACACGCGCACACGCGCACGCGCGCACGCGCGCACACGCGCACACGCGCACACGCGCACACGCGCACACGCGCACACGCGCACACGCGCACACGCGCACACGCGCACACGCGCACACGCGCACACGCGCACACGCGCACACGCGCGCACGCGCGCACGCGCGCACGCGCGCACGCGCGCACGCGCGCACGCGCACGCGCGCACGCGCGCACGCGCGCACGCGCGCGCGCGCACGCGCGCACGCACAACGCACAACGCACAACGCACAACGCACACGCACAACGCACAACGCAAGACGCACGACGCACACGCACACGCACACGCACACGCACGCGCGCACGCGCACGCGCACGCGCACGCGCACGCACGCGCACACGCACACGCACACGCACACGCACACGCACACGCACACGCACCCCCCCCCCCCCACCACACACACACACACACACACACACACACTCACACACACACACACACACCTTGTCGTACTCGCACTTCTTCTTGAACTTCTTGATCAGCGCCCTGGCCGACCCGAAGTCTGCTCCGTCTTCGAGCCCACCTCCGCAGTAATGTCCTGCCGCCTCTGCCCACTGCCTCCTGTCGATGGCGCTGGCCATCGCATCCTGCAGGTCATTGACGCCCGCGCTCCACGCGGCAGTCAAGGGCCAGCTCGGCGCCGTCGCCGCCGAAGACCTCGCCGCTGCCAGATCCAGTGCCAAGGCCCCCTCGGTCCCCAGCCAAGGTCGAGGAGGGCGTTCACCGTCGCCCTCGTGACTCCGGCGACTCCTCTCCGCCCGTGTTTCGCCTTCTTTTTTTACGCGGCCGTCGCGATTTTCGGCCAGATCACCTTCGCCCGCTTGCACCCCCCCCCTTCGCTGACGATGTGCATCAACGGGTCCAGCAGTGCGAAGACCGACCCGAATGCGGGATCTCCTCTAGCGATCTCCACCTGCAACAACGCGGCGAGGCACCTGCCTCAGAGTCTCGGGGCGGTCACCGACGCCAGCCTTCTGCGCCGCTTGGTCATCAAGCTGGGCGCCGCGCCGAACGCCTTGCAAGCGTGGCCCGCGCGGGGCAAGGGCCCTCGCTGCGCTGCCGCTCGAGCGCTACTGACCCGCCCGCCACTTCGAGCCATGCGGATGGCCCGCGCCACCCGATCAGCATGGGCCGCCCTCTTGGCGCGCGCCCCCTCGCCGCCCGCGATGCTGCGCACTCGGTCGATCCCGAGGTCTGGAGCCTGGTGCTTCACCTTCGCCGCGATGTTGCGCGACTGCAACCTGCGCGCGACTTCATTCCCTACGTCCGAGTCGTTGCCGGTCAGCGCGGACTTGGTGGACAACGTCGGCTTCGCCCTCTTCGCTCCCGAAGCGAAGCCCGCGCCAGCGCTGGACAGCTGCCTGGCCACCTCCTTCCTCGAGCACTCCATCCTGGCGGTGACGTCGCCCGCCCGCGAGCGGACGTGCGCCCGCCAGAACTTGGCGCTAACCTTCTTGAGCACCGCGTAGAGGGCCACTCTGCCGAAGTCGATACCCCTCCGCGCGCCCGCGCAAATCCACCTGTCGGGGGCGATGGGCTCTGCGCGCGCTGTCCTGTCCCTGATAAGGCGCGCGCTAGAGTGGCTCGACATGTCCAAGTGCAGCGCGCGGGCTGGCGTGCCTAGCCTGAGCCCCTCGCCCAGAATAAGGGCGGGCTCCAGTGTTTCGTAGAACTCCGCTGAGTCCCACAAAAGCCGTCACCGTGTAGACCTTCATCGGCAACCGCTCCAGGGCTCCGTCGGCGAAAGAACGAACCGATGCCTCCTTGAGAGCAATCGCCGCGCCCCTCTCGCCCGCCATGGTGGTGGCCCACTTGCCGGTATACTCGCCGCGCATCTTCGATCGCAACTTAACCACCTCTGGGGGCGAACCGATCGCCCCGTCCCCTCCAGCGCCCTTCGGCGAGAGGCCCACCGGCGCGATCATCAACTGCCATGGCCAGGCCCCCTGGCGCTCCGACTCCTCGACGAGCTGGCGCAGCCCCCCCTTCGCCCGCGGGGGAAGCCACTTGAACGCCGAGGCTGGCTGCTCGACCTCCTTCGCCTTGCTCTGCGCCATGGCGCCGATGGCGTTGTTGAGGCTCTCGATCGCGATGGGCGCCCAGTCCTCCTCTCGAGCAGTCTCGCGGGGCAGCTCGCGTCGGTCCAAAATTTTCACCCGACCGAAGCTGCTCTTCCACCCCCTGCTGCCCCACTGCGCGCCCGCTGTGCCCGCGCAGTCGACCATGTTCGCAGCAGCGATGGAATTGCCGCGCACCTCGTTGTCGCATCGCGGCGCGTCCATTCGTTATATTGCGGGGCTTGCCGCAGCCCGCCGCCTCCTGCTCCTTCGCCCAGTTGGCGTGGGCCAGCAAGGCTTCGCCGACCTCCGCGCGCTTGCCCTTCCTCGCCGCGGCCGAGGCCGCCGCGCCGAAACTGCTGATCTGACCCCCACTCCTGGTCTCAACGCCCATGACGGCCTCGCGCCACTTCCTCTTCTGCTTGCTCGTCATCTTCGCGATGCCGCCCCTGGGGGCCGTGCCGCCCATGTCCTTCCGCAGAGCCCGCAGGCGCGCTGCGCGATTTCCTCGGCACTCGCGCCTCTGCAACTCAACCAAACAAAAATAGTAAACCAGCGTGCCCTGCCACCTGACGGACAGGCCCAAGTCCGGGCTCGCCTCGTGCGCCGAAGTTGCGTCTCTCAGCAGCTTCGGTCTTGCGCGTCGCGCAAAAATGCTGCTCCACCGCGCGCGCCAAGGCCCCGCGGCGCGCCCCCATCTCGTCGGCGCCGCAGGGGTCGAAGTGGCGCGCCGCCGTCGCCGTCGCGCAAAGCGGCGGCGCGCGCGGAGCCTTGCGATCCTCCGCGCGAGCACTGTCTAGCTTGAGCTGCCAGAGCACGCCCTGCTGATCCTCGTCGATGTCGAAGCCACCCTCCGCCATTCGCTTCCGGTCGGCAGCCGCCTCGCCGACCCCGTAGTCGCCGACCTCGCCGCCCTCCGCGCTCGACCCGCACTCGCCGAAGAGGCCCGCCATCTCGCCGTGGATCTGGCACTCCTTCGGCGGCCCGACGCGCGAGATCGGCTCGACCCGCGCGCTGCTCCTCGCGCCTGGATGGGGGGGGGGGGGGGGGCGGCGAGGGCGGCGGGCGATCCGCGTTCCCCGCCGCGCTCGATAGGCCCTCGCGGAAGCCGCTGTTCTGCTATTCCATGGCCCGCTTCCCGGGGCGCCGGCTGACGGGGCCTGCCTCGCTCTTCGGCATGTCGGGCAAATGGACAAGCTGCGGAAGCAGGGGGCAACGCTGCAGCGCGACCTCTGCGTCTCCGCGCAGGCGAAGCCGAGCCCCGCAGTGGCCCCCTGGGCCCACCTGGTCCGCGCTGATCTTGTCCAGGGCCAAGATGGAGGACTCCGAGCACACCGCGCAGCCCCGCACCCCGACAAGGTTGCGCGCGCGGGCACGAGAAGCCCTCGGGCGTCTCCACCCCCTCGCGCAGCCGCGCCAACCGCCCCGCTCTCTGCAGCTCGCGCGGCCCGGCGTTCCAGTCGCCAATCGCCGCGCAGGGCCCGCCGCGGCCCCTCGCGGTCGCCGCCGGCCTCGCCATCTTGGGCCGGCCCCCCCTCGCATGTCGGTCGACGATGCGAGGCGCGCGCGGGCGACCGTGATGGACTGCCCCTTCCACCGCCGCGTCATCGCCGCCATGTCGGCGGGGCCTGGTTCCCGCGCAGAGTCGAGCTGCCTCGGCCTGAAGGCCTGCTCCTCCTCGGCCGCCAAGTGCCGCGCCGACGTCGCTGAGTGGCTTGCCCTCGCCGCAATTGCAGCGCGCCCTGCAATCTCGCTCCGCGCGGTCTCCCGCGACGGCGCGGCCGCCGCCTTCCGCCCGAAGGTCGAGGTGGTCTAGGATGTCGTCGGCGCCCTCCGCCCCGACGTGAGTCTCTGGGGAGATGATGACGTCGCCCTGGGGCGCGTCGGTCTTCTTTTTTCAGGCGCGGCCCCCGCGTCGATAGGTTCTGCAAGAAGGCGGCGCGCAGCGTTCCCGTTGCCGCCAGCGGCTGCCTTGCGGCGTGCCTCCGCGGCCCCCGCCAGGTCGCGCATCTCCTTCGATTCCTCGCCTGAAAGCGTTGCCGCGACGTCGCCATCGGCGCCCCCGCTGCCAGTTGGGTCTGCCCGTCCTGCAGGGCCCTCCGCTGACTCGGCTGCTGCTGCTGCAAGCGCGGGCGCGGGTGTTTCCACTGGTGCGCGCCTGTCGCCCTTGGCCACATTCTGCTTCTTCTGGGCCCGTTCCATGAACTCTTTTCCTTCTGTCCCTGCGCCTTGAGCTGCTCAGCCGCTGCCGCGAGGGCCTGCGTCGCCGCCCGCTTCGCCGCGACGACGAGCTCCTTCTTGCGCTCGTCGACCTCTGCTCGATCTCCCCAGCTGACGCCCTCGTCGCCGACCTCGAAAACGTCGCCCAAATCCACGTCGATATCCTGGTTGCCCTCCAAGAGCGCGCCGCAAGGTAGGAGAGGCTCGACGCGTCTGGGGGGGCGAGTCGCTGCCGCCGACGCAGAGGGGGCGCCCGCGAAGCTCCACCTATACACTGGCCTCCGCCTCGACCACCGCCGCGGTGCACTGGTGAAAAGCCGACCCCGCTGCTTGGAGCTCTTCCTTGGGGGCGCCCCCTCCTGCGGCGCGCCTTCTGCTGCGCTGCCCGGCGCGTCTGACCTTGGTCTTCTGCTTGCCGAAGAGCGGCTCGCGACCCAGACTGCGGTTGCGGGGCAGCCGTTGACTGAGCTGGCTTTGATTCAGCAAATGCCTTCTCGAGCTTGTCCTACTGGCCCCCCGCTGCCGCTGCTGCTGCTTGCTCGAGCAGTTGCTGAAGCTTGCCTTCTCCCCGTGACCGTCGCGATTTCGTGGCCGCGCGCCTCCGCCGCCTCGCAGCGGGGCGCCCGTCCGCTTGAATTTGCCACGAACGCCAGTGCCGAGGCTTGGCCAGCCCTAATCGCCCCAGACTCCATCGCGTTGAACTCGCTCAAATTGGCCCGATCCGTCAGGTAGCTCCGCCGCCAAAGACAGAAAGGGGTTGGGCCATGCCGCCCGGAATATGGATCTCAACCCTGCGGTCGCAGGCAAGGCGTGAAAGCGAAGTCCTGGTGGTTGGCCGCGGGCCAACGGTCTCCGCGCTGCGCCACGGGGCGAAAAAACGTCTTGAACCAAAACGGCTCGAGCCAAAATGAAGCGGACGGTGACGACGACGACAACGGCGACGACGACGACTGCTATATTATTACTACTACTAAAACTGCTACTCCTACTACTACTACTACTACTACTACTACTACTACTACTACTACTACTACTACTACGACTACTACTACTACTCCGACTACTACTACTAGTACAAGTACTAGTACAAGTACTAGTACTAGTACTACTACTCGTACTAGTACTAATACTAGTACTAGTACTAATACTAGTACTAGTACTAGTACTCGTACTACTACTACTACTACTACTACTACTACTACTACTACTACTACTACTACTACTACTACTACTACTACTACTACTACTACGACGACTACGACTACGACTACGACTACGACTACTACTGCTACTGCTACTGCTACTGCTACTGCTACTACTACTACTACTACTACTACTAGTGCTGGTGTTACCACAAATACCACCGCCAGCACCACCACTACCACTACTACTACTACTACTACTACTACCACCACTACTACTACTGTTACTACTACTACTACAACTATTACTACTACTACATCTACAACTGCAACTACGACTACTATTATTATTACTACTACTACTACTACGACTACTACTACTACTACTACTACGATGACGACGACGACTACTAGTACTACTACTACTACCATTACTGCTACTACTACTACTACTACTACTACCACTGTTAGTACTGTTATTGTTAATATTAGCTACAACAGCAGCAACAACAACTACTCTTCCACTACCACGATTACAAGTACTAGTGCTAGTATGACTACACCTACTACTGCTACTTCTACGAGTACTACTACTACTACTCGCGCTGCTGCTACTACCACCCTACTACAAACACCACTACTACTACTACTACTACTACTGCTACTACTACTACTACTACTACTACTACTACTACTACTCCTACTCCTACTCCTACTCCTACTGCCGCCGCCACTATCTCGACTATTTCTACTTCTCCTGCTAGTGCTACTACTATTAATACTACTACTATTGCTACTGCTACTACTACTACTACTACTACTACTACTACTACTACTACTACTACGACTACTCCTACTCCTTTTTCTACCTTACTACTACTACAACTACTCCTGCTACTACTCGTGCGGCTACTACTACTACTACTACTACTACTACGACTACTCCTACTCCTTTTTCTACCTTACTACTACAACTACTCCTACTACTACTCGTGCGGCTACTACTACTACTACCACTACTACTACTACTACTACTACTAATACTACTACTACAATGAGTGCTACTAGTACTGTTATTACGGCTGCAAGCGCTTCTGCTACTACTGCTATTACTGCTACTACTACCACCACTACTACTAGTACTACTACTACTACTACTACTACTACTACTACTACTACTACTACTACTACTAGTACTACGGCGACTGCTACTACTACCCCCGCTACTATACTAAAACTACTATTATAAATACTACTGATACGGCTACTACTACTACTACCGCCACTAGTGCCACAACTACTACTACCACCCATACTTGTATTTCTACCACGAAAACTACTACTACCACTACTACTACTACTACTACTACTACTACTACTACTACTACTACTACT